TTATGTCTTGACGCCAAATTCTTTCTTATATCGCAGTTCCACATGCTTTCGAAAAAACCGTAGAACTCTAGGATTAGTTTCGATGTTCTAGATCTTGCAGAGGACGGTCCCATGGCCTTCTAGGTACATGTTTATGCCACGACCACAAATTAATTTATATATGACAGTTCCAACTGTTTTCGAAAAAAACGTGGAGCTCTAGGATCAGTTCCATACATTGACCACTTTTACGGATTTTTCGGATCTTCCTGAGGCGATCCGATGGCCATCTGGGTTCATGTTTATGTCACGATCCCAAATTCATTCTAATATCACAGTTTCTAACGTTTTCAAGAAAACCATGGAGCTCTAGGATCAGTTTCGTGATTTTTCCCCTTTCACGGATGTTCCGGATCATCCGAAGGACGGTCTCATAGCCATCAAGGTCCATGTTTATGTCACGACCCCAAATTCATTCTATCATCTCAGTTCTTAGTGTTTTTCAAAAACTGCGGAGCTCTAGGATCAGTTTCATGGATTGACCACTTTTACGGATTATCCGGATCTTCCTTAGGACGGTCCCATGGACATCCAGGTTCAGGTTTATGTCACAACCCCAAATTCATTCTTATATCACAGATCCTAATGTTAAAAAAATACGCGGAGCTCTAGGATCAGTTTCATGGATTGTCCACTTTTATGGATGTTCCGGATCTTCCGGAAGACGGTCCCATGACCATCCAGGTACATGTACCTAATACCATGCTGGAGGCAGCTGGGTTCAATTCTCGGTCCGGTCTAGGATTTTTTGTACTTGTATGATAGTACAAATGCAAAAATGGTACAGGCTAAGTAAGCTCTCATTTAACAACTGTGCTAGTGCTAGAGCACCAAGTTGACGGCCGGCATATAGTACAGGTAGAGACGTAATAAAGCCAAAAGAGGTGGTTGGCATAGAAGGCTCTCAATTAGTAACTGTGGAAGTGCTTTAAAGAACACTAATGTCGTTTTCGTTTTCGAGATGGAGCTACCTCTATGGAGCTTCACTAGTGCTACACCGCCGTACACCGACATCATTCACGGTGTAGATGTCGGTTACATCTTTGTTTACAAACAAATGATGAGCTGTCAAAGACTCGCACTTATTGCCGCTTCCACTACACCGGTGCTACACCGCAAAAACGAAAACGACATAAGTTGAGAGCAGGTGTAAGCTCTTGTAAGGAAAAATCATCTATACCCATATAAAAAAAATTAAAAATAAATGTTTGCGTGTTACACTAAACTCGAGAACGGATTGACGGATTTGCATGATTTTTTTTTTATTTTGTTCGTCTTGTTTCCCGACGGGTTTATATTAAACAATTAGGCAGTACCATAGAGGTAACTCTAATATCAGAAGGTCCCGAAGAAACGTCCTCAACTTTTTGGCTCAGCTCTGGTACTCTCTTCGGTCCCAAGCTAATCGATACACCTCTCGAAAATCCACGAACCCCTAATTTTATTTGTCAAACTTTCATAGCGAATCAAATCAAACATAGCGTAGTACTAGAATTTCAACTAAAATGGGGTACGTTAATCGATGTACTTGGGACCAATAGACTAGTCAAGTAGTAAGCCAATTTAAAATCGTTAGTTTCCACCGGTTGGCAGTACGTTGTTTGCCGACTCGTGCCTAGGTGCGAAGACTCTGCAGTCACTTCTGTTGGTATGTTTCATTATATATACATACTCCAGGGACATTAAAAGTGTTTAGTAAAAACTGGTCTTAAATGTGGAAAAATCGATGGATAAATTGGCTTTATTTTAAATGTAATTTCCAAAATCTGGAAGAAATTCTTGCCAACAGCGGGTGTGACTAAAACTATGGTTTCTGATCCTGATCTATATAGCTAAACTTGATTACTGTGTACTCAGTACACGATGTGATAGCTCGTGTTACTTTTTACTATGTGACTCCTGGAAGGTTAACAAATTCGACAGATGTACCAAGCACAACACACCCACACTAATCTGCAGTTGAGATGAAAGTAAAATAAAACCGTAACCCATTGATGATGGACAAAAATTTCTAGCAAACTACTTCTCAATAATTCGACAATATGAAAACTTAAGCAACACCTTCAACTTTTGAAGAAAAGAACGCGTTCAGCCGTACTTTTTACTGTTTTATCCTTCCCCGAAGTTGCTACTTGAATTCATCCTTCGGATAAATTGTTACAGGGTCGATTTACTTTATTCACGAGATAATTTATGCGATATCGTCCGGTGTCTTTATGCGTGGTGCATTTAAGTTGAGTTTTTTACCTCATGTGATCTTAGTCACAATCAACCACGCGGCCGTTGAATCTTACCATCTATTTTTCTCACACGCAAATTCTACTAAGTTATTGTAAAATATGGACTATGGAGCTCTGAGTTATTTTTAGTTATATTACATATTACTGAGTATCGTTGAATAACATATCAATTACGGGATACAATTTCAGCTTAAATGTTACTATTGCTTAAATTCACACTCTTACCCAATTCCCTTTTGACGTTAATGATTGAATGTAAAATTAAGGTTACCAAATTCGAAAAATATATAACGAGACTAAAAACACGCTTGATTGAATTGATTATCGCATATTTGATGACAGCATTTTGTGACGCTCGTATGCATTGGTCTTAGAGTTCGCACATTAATATGAGTTTTTCGTAGTGTGCAGGCTTGAAGCAACTTCTTTCTGGTATTTGTACTGAATGAATGACATGAACTCGTTGACATAGAAAAATCAGTGACCATTAAGTTTTCCAAATCCTGAGTTTAAATGGTAGCATTTTTACTCGCATGAAACATCAAACTCAACCTCCAGAATACTAAGCAACTCTTTAGGCCTTAATTAAATGCGGTTGTGAACACCTTTTCAAAAATCCACTTACTGCCTTTATTATTTGATAATTTAATCCTACGCGTCAGCCTCCGGTTTCGGTCTCATTCTACAAGTTTTAGTACGTGTAGGCACAGTCTCCTCGAAGCTACTCCATCATCAAAGGGTCGAGGCAGTACGAAGTTTTACAATAAGTGACATTTTAATTCCTTTCATACTTTAACGGACGATAGAAGCTATAAAAAGGAAGTAAAGAGTAATACTGCTGCTCAACGGGTTGCCTGTTGGAAATAATAATGACATATAAAACTGTCCGGAGAAGCAAGTTGGGCAAGGCACTGCGGATATGAAGGTTTATTTATTATATGATAAGGTTGGTAGGTAGTTGTTTTCTGTTTAGAGGGCACACTTTAAGAATATCTAAATTTTTATTTGAGGGACCAGTATTTTGTTCTGCTTGCAGGTTCTAGCACCCATCAAAATGAGTGTCTTAAAATTTAACGACAGGCTTGTGTGCGTCTCAAGAAGATTTGGTAGACGTTTTCTCTATCTTCTTGTTGCTAGTTTTGGCGATTTTATACGAGATTTCGCCTGCTCTGAACTTAGTGTTCTTAATGCACTTCCACAGTTATTAGTTCAAAGTATTCTATGCAAATGATTGCATGAGTTTAAATATTGTTTGACAAGCATAATAATTCTCTTTGTTCAGGGAAGTCGTGAAAATCGAACCTGCCGCCTACACAAGTTTTATAACAGTTTATCTAACCTTTGTTTTACTGGTTTTGGTAGTAAAGAAGCTCACTCAACATAATTGAATGGATATGTGTTAGTTGTTCATACCGTGATTTTACTGACTAAAGCTTGAGTCATTTAATATATAGACGCAAAAAAAAAACGGATGTATCTTGGAACCATATTTTTTTTTCTATGATTTGTTTTCCATCGATCTTGTTTTCCGTACTGAGTACCAATGCTACCGACGCCAGGAAGGTAGCTCCCACACCTGAACCCTACCTATCGACCCATCAACTCATGAACCAGGGACCAACGGCTTTACTTCTCTTGCGAAAGAAGGTGTGATCAGAGATTTTATGCCTCAGAAAATCCCGGCGGTGCCGACTGGGATTGAACGTATACCTTTTGGGGTCAGAGGTAATGAAATAAAAATGTCGAGCACTCAAAATGAAGGTCATTTATTGCACTTTAAAGGAACAATAGCAAAACAAATTATTCCGATTTGGTTGTGATGAAATCTCGAACATTTCTTCGAATACCACTCATCATATTTTGTGTCCTGTTGGCTAACCTGAGTGGCCGTTTTCTTCCATCATCTCTTCATCTCTGTCGCATCCCGAGCCACCTTTCCACTCTTCTTCAACTTCTGTTTGACAGTTGCCCAATATTTCTCAATTGGGCGGAATTGAGGGTAGTGGTGGGATTGATGTCCTTTTCGAAGAAATCTACCCCGTTGTCTCGATACAGTTGTAGAACTTATCCACTTTAGTGGCAGCTTGCCAAATCAGGCCAAACCGGGTCCATTGTGAGCCTTAATGTACGGAAGAATACTTTTTTTTTCAGGCACTGCTGTGATGTTTCGAAATCTGGCGCGTATTTAGTAATATATGGAAATATGCATTTATGATTGATTTATAATCCGATGGATCTCAACAAATTCTGCCTCTGAAAAAGAGCCGGTTTGTTCACTCGCGGTAATCGAAAAAATCTTCCGCGTTGTTTTTACAATCGAACAAGATATTTTGAATCACATGTGAAGTTTTTCATTTGCACCGAATTTTTGCCTGACACCTCATTTGCGTGGAGGCTATTTGGGCATTTTGGACCCGATTGGGAATCGTTTGAGCATTGTGGAACAAAAATTATAAATTTTGCTGAGTATAGTGGACAGTTATCCATCATTTTTTTTAAATGTGTGGACCATGTACATTTGCCAATCCACCTCTCCCCCTTAAACTGTCCACAAGGTATATGGACAGCTCCAAAGAACTTGGATAAAGGGAATGATTCTATAAATTCTTGACTCTTACATCAGTTTCGTAACAATATGCGGGATTTAATTTAAATGTAATTGTGTACTGATTTCGAAGATCTGCAATAATTGATAATTAAATAAATAATGTTGAAACATACAGTGTTGATGATGCGTAAAGTTTATTTCATTTCAGGTTACGGTTTACACTCCAGTTATCGTTTTGATGAATCTTCTCACTGACGGCTGCCCGAGATGTGTATAAACAGCTGGCAAGGGTCCACCGCAATCCGTTGATCCCCACGAAACCAGACCGATTTGGCGGCCACCGGAAACCAAAGGGCCACCGCTATCGCCATTGCAAGAATCACGTCCCTGTTGGCCGGCACATATCATGCTACAAATAATCAAACAGCAGTTATAATCACACAATCTTTCAAAACGGCATACCAATCGCTTACTTATTCGTTATCAGACTTGTACCCCAATAACTAGCACACGCGCTTCTAGACACTATCGGGATATCAACAGCATGTAGCTCCGTGGGTAGTCCGTTATCAACCAGCTATTAGGGTAACAATGAAAATAGTTGAAAATATTTCTTTTATCGATTAACCTAACGTGATTACCGTTCTACCCCACCCTGTGACTAGACTTCGGACTCCTGCGAATGGTTCATAGCCTTGCGGTACCAATAGAATAGGTCTCACATTCAGACCGACAAGTGCTGTGGACGTGCGCAGGACAGCCACATCGTTGTCAAACATAGAAGGATTGTATTGAGGGTGGATCACAATTTGTGACACATTGAAAATTTTTCCACCAGACTGTCGATCACCAGTTCCGGCGCGCAATGAAATCTACGAGAAAAACAAAATCTGTTAGGTATCACTTCGTGCCACTCACTTATGATGCAAACTTACTGTACGCACTTCTCGCTGAGGGAAGACACAATGCGCTGCCGACAAAGCCCAGTGCATGGAGATAACCGAGGCACCACAAATATGATTGTCGTGGCTTCTCAATGACAGCTGATATGGGTAATTGGTTACATCTACTTTATGGCCACCGATAATTTTCTCCAATCCAGGAACTCTATTCGATTGATTTAAAGCAAACAATTTTGCAGCATATGGAATAATCTGCTTCGCCTGCCATGCTTCTTCCGTTGAATCTACGGTGGAAAATAGCGTTTGAAATATTTACGTCACCCGGGCTCAATTATATTCTAGCCAATTTTACCAGCATGCACAGCAACGGCTGCCAAGACCACTAAAGCAAACGTTGAAACTTTCATTACACAATCTTCCCTCAACGGCAGCGATAAACGGAATGTTTACTGCTACGAAAACACCAAACTTTTATATGGCACTTTCGGCTGCACCAAAAAAGACCCAGTGCCGAACAGTAGATGGGTATGATGACACCATCCGAGCTTCCTTAGACTGTTCTATATCTTCGAGATTTTTGGCACCATTCAATCATAGTCACACATCACATCAACGATTTGTTGAAGACATACCGATACAGTCGATTGGTTGTCACTAGTTATCATTTTGTTTTCTGTCTACGGTAGTCTATCAGGCGACGCTAAACATGTTGTACAAACAGTAGTCCAACGGATGCCATATCTTTCTCATTGAGTCATCAGTACATTCGGAACTGCATTTATCTGCTTCAGTCATGGTTAAGGTATTAGGAACTTCCGATGCTCGAAAGCGTAATGGCATTGGCCAAGTTGGACAATATCGTACCTGTTGTTAAGAGGAAGACAAATTTGAATCCGTTACTTGCTTTTTTGCTTTTGCTGTAAGTTGCTTTCTGTATGTTGCTGTAAAAATAATATGGTGCAGAATGTACATACTTTTGCTTTTTGTTGTGCAGAATCTTTCAGAAAAGCAAGTACCTAATAATTTATTAATAATTTCTATTTTTAGACACAGATATATTCCTCTCAAACAGCCAAAAAATGTCCTGGCTACGTCCTCGCAACTGGTGGGGATAGGAAAGAAAAGTTCTCCAGTAACATGTAAAAATGAAACAGCAAAAAAAAAAAAGGTTATCTTCCATTTAATTCCACTTAATTAATTTTGGTATCCATGACAGATACGTATTTCAACTATAATGTGCAGTCTTCATCAGTGTCATTCCCACTAAAGAACTTATCAAAATCTAACCCTAAGTACTCATCCCATAGGTAAAAAAAGTCAAAATCACAATTATAAAAATGAAACTACAATGTGTTGAATCGGAACCTACCTAACAAATAAAAACCAAAGATTTAAGTAAACTAAAGGAGAAAAATCTAAACAACTCTTTAATAAGGAAAATCCCAAAGGCTTGGCAGCCATCATAATGAAGTAATGAAATTGTGTTGTTAGCGGAATGCTTAAATAAAACAGAAAAAAAAGGTTATCTTCCATTTAATTCCACTTCCCTGGGCATAGAGTATGATTGTAATTGCCAATGCAAAAATGGTACATGGTTAATGTCCCTAATATTGGACCAATACATACATTTTGAAGAAAAGCATTTTTTGACAATCTTGCACTTAGTCACTAGTCTAGCAACCAAAAATATCAATTTGTATTGCCCAGATGACGCACTGGTGTAATAAAAAATTAGGGACAAGAAATTTTAGCGATCGGTCCAATATTTAGATCCATAGGCCAATATTATAACCATTTCCATGACACTTATGCGGACATTAGAAACATTAACCCTATGCAAATCTGTTATGCTTAAAGTGATTGATTAAGGATTTGCTAATTGTAGTCACAGTAGTGACATATACAGCATCGTTGCCCCATGATATCTGAAAGTTTATTTCACGTTTGAAAACTTGAAAAAAATCTATAATGCATCAAAAGAAAGCGAAGATTGTGTATTGTTCCAGTTTAAAAGTTTTATTTAAATGGTTTTCAAACATCAGAAAGGTGCTCACAATATCTTTCGACCGTCTAAAAAATAGGGTGCTGAATTGCATAAGAAGGGTTTCAAGTTCTGGATCTTGGAAATAGTCTCGATCCTATACAAAACACATAAGCTAACATACAAATAATAACGATTAGTGTAGATAAACATCTGCTGTGAAATGGTTGATTTTACGATTTGAAGAAGTTAAGTACGGAATACGGCGAAGTGGCGTGACACCCTACGGACATTGCATAAAATGTAGGATCACTTGCAACCTGTTTGGCAACATTCTAGCTGTGCCTGCAGTGCCATTTGTTGCAACTCGTATTTATTTGCAGCCTCAGCATTTGGCTTCCTGCGGCGTATATGCTTTGGAAAAAATACAAAACACTCCGCCTGGCATGCTTTCTTTTCTTCAGTGAGCAGATCCAAATAACAACCGAGATTCAGTTTCTGTCAGCATAATCCACTTAAATCATAACATGAAATTACTTGCTTCGAGCAAAACGACGAGAAAAATGGAAATCTCATCCCGTTTTACAGCCTCTAAATCGCCCGTCTCTACCCCCTTTGCCATGAACCTTTCGGATTCAATTCGCTCGATTCGAGATCGCAAGGGGGTTTGAAGTTTGCATGCACAGTGCTCAAGTTGGCATCCTGCGGCTTAGCCTTCGCGAAGAACGACGTCTTACTCCGGTCGGTTGGTGGTTGGTGCAGCACATTATCTGCAAACACAACATGCTTCCAGCTTCTTGAGGACAAGGAAGAGAGAGAAAAAAAGAGACACAGACAGAGAGAGTGAGAGAGAGAGAGAGAGAGAGAGAGAGAGAGAGAGAGAGAGAGAGAGAGATAGAGAGAGAGAGAACGAGTCAGGATCTAGTTGTAGTGGGTACTTGAAGTGATTGCACCATGTTGCTGGTTGGTTCACCAAACGGCATGAATCGTGTCGCTCGCAGCCAGCCATGGTTTACTTCCTGTCTCTAGTGGATTTCTTATTTTTTCCCACGTCTTTTCTCTATCCGCCCATGTCCTTGATTTTCCTTGGCCGGTTACAAATGCTATTGTTACCAACGACTGCGACATCATGCAAACAAGAAATGATTCTTGTTGTGTCCTTGGCAGCATTGTTGATACGAGTTGTTATATTTTCCCGGACTTTTTCTACTGTACACAAGCGAATCCCAACCAAGATGAGATGACGTGAAACATGTGCACTTATTTTCCAATTTGGATTTATGGCACTTCTACTAAATCAAGGCATGCTAGTTTTTTTTTTACTTCTCCAGGATATTTCCTCAAATTTAGGCAATTCTTCGGTGCACGCGGCTCTAGTAATTCCGGAGTGATTTTAGATTTGGGCGTAATTGTATTTGTAAACAAACACGTCAATCGCCGATTTATCGCAAATAAAAGCTCAATTTTGAAAACTAATAACACTATAAGGTAGAGGTATGATTCCTCTATCATTTGGTATAGTTTATTTTTAAAATTGAGCTTTAATTAACGAGGAATGGGCGATTGACTTGTTTGTTGACAAATACAATTACGCCCAAATCTCAAATCACTCCGGATTTACGTTATTTGACAATCCTCAGATAATGAAAACGCAGTAGGTTTCTATTTTCTTTAATTTTTTTTCATGGTTGACTGCTAGATTGACTGAGATTTATCAAATGTATGTGTATGTATGTATGTAAGGTAGCCACCATCCCTTCAAAGATCTTGTCTTGTATGCAGCTCCACTTAATAGCAAGATCAATTTGAGCTATCGATCTGAATTCACAATATCGCTGTATGAAGGGCCAAAAACGGAGGGGTGGACCCGTAAGCAGAGACACTTACGCGAAATCCACGGGAATTTAAGAATCTCCTTCCAACGATACGATCCAACAAATCGAATAACGCAATTCGCAATACTTATTAAGCTTCCTACAGGATGGTTTGTTAAGAAGGGTGCGTCAATCTCACTGAAACTGTTGAAATAGAATTCACACCACCACAATCGAATCGGTAGGATAAAGAAAATGATAGTGTTTATTCCCTTCTAGACTCCGGTTGTCATACCACTCCATCGTCCAATTTCAGGTCAATTGATACCCTGATGCTCCCTCCCAACCCAGTATTTATTTGTATAATGAAAATATATGTAATGTGCAATGGAATATATCAGAACATTAATTATGAAATAATAAATATAATTTTATAAAGATAAAATAGTTGATATTCTGCACTGAAAATAATAAATATTTTACATATAATAAGATGCAGCTCTATGTTTCCTCAGCTCCCAATATCAAGTGGATGTAACACTGAAATTTCAAGGTTATATTAAGCAATCATATATTTTTATCTGTAATTATACTTGATATTATCTCTTTACAATAATGTAAGGATGTAAATGTAAGGTGTAAAGTGTGACTAATGACTGACAGGACTAACAATCTCCTCTAAATGGTGCCATGCACAACGAAAAATATATTATATATTATAACCTGTATAAAAAATATATGCATATAATGTTATGTATTGTTGTTGCTTCCACTACGTCATCCGCTTAATAATAATTTCGATGAGTAATGCAACACGGTATAAATATATAATTGTTCCAGCTAATGTTGGTTATGTAGATCTAGTAGTCTGCAGCAGGTTGATTATTTTAATGTTTGTCTTTTTGTGATTTATCCTCGAAGAGCTGAAATAAACCTGAATAATTTATATCGATGAATCCAGTATTTCAGATATGTTTTGGATTTCTTTTGAATGGATAGATTATCTTTGAATTTCAACATTTTTTTGGTCCATGAAGAAGTATGCTGTTGAAGTGAACAATAAAATGAAAATAAATAATTTCAATTTGTGCCTCCCTTAGATCAACCGCCAAAGGCATAGCTACTTGGCACCGTCAAGCATCGTGCCATCATTAAAATAAATTAATATAAACGCATCAAAAAATACTGCTGTTCTTTTCTCATCTGTTCAATCACTAGTTTTCAATTACTTGTAACTAAATTGCTATGTGATATAAAAAAAACACCCATCCAAATTTACTCTTATTTAATCAACATAATCATAGATCAAAATTTACAGTTTGAATTGATGGGCGCTTGATTGATAATTCGGAATTTAGGCTGCCTATTATGACAGGTTGCTCACTTTCAAGAGGCGGGGCATGGAAAACCAATCTAAAGTCAGGCCTAGAGTCAGGCACTCCACTCCGAAATATGTGGTAGGAAATCTAGTATCATTTATAACAAAACGTCATTTAGAGAAATCGACCAATGTAACATGTCCGATGTACAACTTGATTAGTCAAAACGTCCTATGTGATTTTTTTTCATAAATATTTTAGCATTAATTTCAAAATAAAATTGTGATTTTACCGTTTCTACCGAATTTCCAACGTTATTACTCACTGTCTACGGTAAAATAGTGTT